GAAGAGATGAGGTACGGTTGGGTGAGAAATAGAGAAAGGTGCAAGTGAGGGGAGAGAGAATGAAGGGAAGAATGAAAAGATATGGCCAGTCGTGGGCTGAGTGAGATACAGAAAATGAGATGGACACGAGACTGACGGTCACCGATAAAAATGAACAATATTTGTTAGCAGTCAGCTTCCGCATTACAAAAAAATAAAATATATATATATTAGATTAGATCGATAATACTAATGAATGTTTTTTTTTAACAAAAAAAAATGATTATTTGATATTTTAAAAGAAAATCACAGAATATATATTTAAGGGCGTCAAAGAAATTTATGTTAACCTACTAATTAGGTAATATATTAAATTAAGATGGTTGGGAAATAGGGAAATGTCATGCTTATATTGCAGTTTGGTCATCTAAGTCATGCATATTTATGGTTGTACCTACCCTTCTAATTCAACCACTATATTTACAAAATGGGATCATCATCTTTGATGTGTGACATTTTGCTTTCCCTAAGTTCATTTAATTATTATTTAAAGAGAAATTAGAATAATTAAAAACCTATATAGATTTTATTAAAAATAAATAAATAAATATTGTAGAATTTAGAAGGAATAGATATGGATAAAGTTTCTTAGAAATATTTAAAGTATCCTTTAATTAGCTTGGAAATGTGAAGGTAAAGGCGTCCTCCAATTTCCGACGTAAATTTTAGGGCTTTTTTAAAAGGCCGCCCATACTCGGCGGTGGTGCTTACATTGTTACCGCTTTCCATCTTCCTCTGTCCCTCTGGCTTCCTTTTCTTAATTTAAATACTAAATGCAAACAAATTAATTCCATTTTTTTTCCATTAATGGAATTAGTTGTCAAAACTCAAAAGCCCAACACGATATGGAGACATATTTATTATATACAGTATATTAATAAAAAAGTTAATTTAATAAAAAATACTATTTTGTCTCCAAATCTTCCCTAAACTCAAAAATACATTCAATTTTATAAATAGTTCAGAATATTTTTTTTAATTTTTAAATACTTTTGAGTTTTTACCATTTTCATTAATACTCTTCCACTTTTTTAAAACTTCCAAAAGTAACAACAAAAAAATTTAAAAGTAATTTATGAGAGGTTGATATAAAGTTTATATATATATATACACACCCACTCACGGTAGTAATTTTTTTGATTTCTTTTATAAAGGAGTATTTTTTTAAAATAACACAAAGGTAAGAGTATTTTTTAATTTTTTAAAACCGTGATATTAGTGAAACTCTTAAGAGTTTAAAGGTACGTTCTAAACAAAATTCTCACTATTTTTATACTGAACTAGGATAAGTATATTTTTTTATTTAATTTAAAGAGTATTATTGAAAATGGTTTGAAAGTATCAAATGTGTTTTTATTAATTTATAACAGTTTTTTAAATACAAACGATTGACAATTTCAATAATTATATATATATTAGAAAGCTGAATATTAAATTTAAAAGAAGAAAGATATATGATAATTCAATAAAGCTGGATGGTTTGGACAAATGGTCAAAGACGTGTTGGACTGGGTATGACCTTGAAGTCAAAGACAGACTTGAGAAATTTAGGAAAATCCAATTCCAATTATTTATATAATACATACATATATATAATTCCACATTTCAAGTCGGTTGCAATTTGAACGTTTAAGATGAAGTAAAATAATTTTGTTGAAATTAATATTTGCTATAGTAAATATTTTTACTGATATTAAATTGCCCTGACATTTCAAACCCAAATTATTGAATAGACATCAATGGTCATTCTATTAATAATGTGATATTTAACGTTTACAATTGTTAAATTAATAATTTTCATTATAATTTAAATAATATGTTTACATTACTTATTAATATAATTTATATTCATCTACGGTTAAGATTTACAAATTTATTAAAAGAAAATGTCAAATGAAATTTAAAATTTGAGATTTGATCGTGTTGGGCGTTACAATTTATTAATTTTTATAAATTCTAAAATTTTAATGTAAAATTGATAGATAAATTTGATATAAACATATTAATTGAAAGTATTATCTTAATCGAAAATGGGAATCAAAAGGAGAAGAACAAGGGAGAAAGAAAGGCCAAAAGAGTGGACCCCGGAACCACGTGTTTGGATTTGATTTGGTAGGAGAATGTGTCCGGTCGGAAAAACCATATAAAATATTAAGTAAGCGACAAATAAAACCGAGGATTTTCACGTGATGGCGCTTGGTTCCGTATCCGCACACGCATCTCCCGTACAAGACCGTGGTACCTGCTTCGCTAGCAACAAACGACAGCACGCGGTCCGTGATCCCGTTGGCCTTGGTTGGCGCGGCGCCGGCCTTTGCCTCCGCCAATCCAAAACATTCGCGCTTCACGAGCGTGAAATCCACGCCCTACTCTATTCATAATCTTCTTAAATTCTCTTACGAAATATATCTGTAAAAATATATTATACGTCAATATTTTTACCTAGAGATTTAATTAAAAACTTTAAAATTATAACAACTAAATTAATTAAATTAGGTTGAATTTGGTCCTATAATTTCGATTTAAGTTTAGCGGTTAGGAATTACGGATCTCCACAATGGTATGATATTGTTCGCTCTCATAGATTTGCTTTAGGCTTCCCAAAAGGCATGCCAATGGAGATGTATTCTCCTTTATAAACTCATAATCTTCCACTAAATTAATCCACGTAGACTCACTCCTAATAATCCTCCACATAGCTTCCCTTATAAATTTATAATCTTCTACTAAATTAACTCACGTGGACTCACTCCCAATAACCCTCAACCTAGCTTCAATTTAGGTCCCCTAAGTTAAAATTAACAAATAAATTAAACAATGAAATGAGCTTGATTTTACATTTAATTGTGGGTGGGCTTATTTCACTCACTAATATTTATCATCCACTTATTTTGTATGTATATTTATATTCAACTCGATGGCCGTAAAACGATTTTCACGCGGGCTTAGCTTCTTCTAGCTAAATCAGTTATTTTCTGTTTGATCTTATATTGGTCGTGTCATGTTGATATCATATGTTAGATTGATCATGAACTCGCACATTGATTCAACTTGTTTATTTTGAAATCATTCTAAAATATTAAAAAAAAAAAAAAACCTTTTTTGAATTGAACGAAAAGGGCATTGGAAACAACAAAATTAAGATATTTAGCATAAAGGGGCATGAAAAATGGCGTAGTAGCCATAATGAATGGAGTTGGTGAGTGGTATGGCTTAAAAAAAGGGCAAAAGAAAGGTGATATGTTTGGTAATTGTTGGTGGTTTGCAGCATGCCAACCTGGGCTACTCCGCCATAAGGTGCGTTCTGATACAACCACACCTAATCCTTTCACCTTTTCTAACCCTACACTTTATCTCTTTATCTTTTTCAAACATTTAAACTGTAAAGCTCACTGCTCCCTTCCCCCTAAATTATTCATAAAATTTAGGCCACCTAAACCCTAAGATTGTAATTTTACAATTATGGACACATTTAATTATATTTTATATTCTACCTATCCATTACTCTTAAATTTGGTCAGTGTTAGCATAAAAACTACGATGATATGTGTATAATATTCGGTTTAAATATCCTTTCTAATCTCGAGTTCCTTTTATGATAGTGTAAAATTATTGGTCTATTAGTATGCTTATTTATTTTGTGTAATATATATATTTCACATATTTTAATGTATGTTAAATACACAGTTTATTAAGTATAAAAATTAAAAGTTACTAATTTAGACATTTTAAAATTAGAATTGATTATTATTATCTTTATGTTATTTTGAAGGCATAACACAAATATAAAATATAAAAGTTGGAAAGTGAAACTTATAATTTTACTCAATTATTTGGAATCTTATCTTGAGAACTGTTTTCCATCGTCATTGGACAAAAGTGCACAGTGCACGAACTTGGTTACTTTAATAAAGTAGATTGTAAATCTACCAAATATCAACAAATAATACATAAAAAAAAAAAAAAACGTTATTTTCTCACCACAAGAAACTCCACCAATTAATACTTCTCACGCTAATTATTCATAATTTTTTTTTTAATTATAACTCACTTCGAGTATAAAACTCTCCTGACTTTACTTTTAATTTTACTGTCAATATAGATAGTATTTTATATTTTTTCTCTTAATTAGTTAATGCGGGACTCGTCCCAACAATCCAAATCCGATTAGGTCTAGGATTAATCTAATAAAACCAACCAAATTAAGATAATCTCAAACAATGGAGTTCACATTAATTTGGGCACTTTTTTTTTTTTTTTTAATCATTTTTATTTTCGGTTATTTTTCAATTTGGGCTCTACTTTTGGATACACTCCAATTTCCCAAAATGGGTCATGGGAGTTTTGGGCCCAAATTGAGCCGTAATTGAAATATGACGCAATATAGAATTTTAGAGGTAATTCAAGTAAAATAGAAGGCCGCTAGGGTTAAGACCAGATTAATGACGTAAATATCAACATTACTCATAAAAAATATATTGTTATAGTAATTAATCAATAAAATAAAATAAATAAATAATTTTATATTACGCATTAATTAGTCTTTAATACTCAAAATTGAATAATTTACTTTAATACGTCAAATACAAATTATTTAATAAAATATTAATAGCAAAATAATTAAAATAATAGAAGATATTCATTATAAGTGTATTAGTTAAAATTTGTCAAACAATCCATATTAACAATTAATTAAAAATAATTACGGGACCGCGTTTTTATGTGTCTCGTCCGGTCTGACCTCACAGTAATTATGTTGGGGGTGCAGACACCGAATAGAATCCTTGCCGAATGAAAAATCTCTTTCTCTTGTTTACTTAAAAATAACTCGCGTAAATTACTAACAGACTTTTAATCCAGTGTACGTGCCCCTGACGTGAGGATCGTGAACGCACTGACACGTGTCACATGATCAAATTGTGTGAACAGCCGCGAACCACATCAGGGTTTACATTACGGCCTGACGCGCCCCCTATTTTCCGTCCAACTTCGTAGGAAAAAAGCTGGACAGGCTGAGGTGAAAAAAATGCGGAGATGGGTGAAGGTTCAGCCGCCTCCCTTTCACTTCGCTCCACAGCTCTAATCCATGGTTACCCATTCAAGTTTCAGGTTCCTCTCTCTCTCTCTCTCTTAGCGCTCTCTTCTTCTGCAGAACGAGCTTGTTTGCTTTCTATTTTTGGTTCGTTAATGGCTGCTCAGTACTCTTTTAGGTCGTCTTTGGTCCCATTTTTGGAATTGGTTATATTGGTTTGATTATGCTTTTTTAATTTGTGGTGGAAGGGTTGGTTCATGTTTCAGTTTGTTCGTATTTGTTTTCGATGAAATTGAATTACGTCTGTTGAATTTTTATCGTCAATTAGTGGTTTTCTGAAGAATTCGTGACAGATCGTCAAGTAGTGATTATGTTGCAAGCAAAGCAGATTGACAGTTTCAAACCGGGACAGATCATTTTTTTTCTGTGGTGTTACACAAAATGGGGCGATCTGTTGAACTCGCTTGATCAATTCAATTTAATCCATATGTTTAGGTTTGAGTTATCAATTAACTTAGGTTGGGATAGGTTCAAATAAAAAACTCAATGTAACTCAACGTAGGGTACTCTATAGTTGGGTTGAGCGGAACTAATTCAAATTTATTTAATTTCATAATTATTTTTTTCTCTATTTGGAAGGTAGTTCTTCAAAATATATATTGAAATTAAATGGTAAGTCTTGACTCAATATTTGGAAATAAATAATGACCCTAACAACTCAAACTAATCCAATCTAAATGTTTTCTAGTTAATTTAGGTATGATTTATTATTTAATAAGGTTGCTTAGGTTGAAAATTTTGTTTGGAAATAAATAATGAACTTAACAAAAGTAATTATGTCTCATGAAACTGACGATGTTGATCTCTCAGTTTCCATACAACAAGTTACAAACACCGGCCCCAATCTCCAGAGGGGAACAAAATGTGTAAGGTATGCCAGTAGCCTTAACTCTGTTTTGGATGATGAGTGCATTTCACCAAATATTGACACTCAGATTGTTAAGATGGGTACTATGGTTGTGAGCTTCTTCTCTGACTTTGTGAATTTTAAAGTCCCCTTATCTGACTATGAAAGAACATTTAGCTCATTTAAAATTTGCATGGTTGATCTTGCCCGGTCCATTTCTTCTGTGAAACCTTAAAAAATCAAACATCTAAGAAGAGAGAACATTCCTATAGATTTCAAGCCTCAAAGTAGTAGTAACCATCATGGTCCAAATTGCAAGGCTGAGCAATTCAATAATTATGTTAAAGGCTCAAAGTAAGTTCCAGAGGCTAGGATGCGAAAGTCAGTGGTATTTCATAATATTTCCTCAGAAAATTGTGATAAATTAAAGGACTATACCAAAGAGAACAAGAGTTTATTCAAACAGCTTTGGCCATAGGTTCATAGTTCACAAAGTCTTCCAAGAATTTGAAAAAACTTGCCGATAATTTTAAAAGCTCAATAGGATGAAACCAATCGCTCCCTGTTTTTTAATGCCCCATATGTTATGGAAAGTGTTTTTTGCGTATTGCAACAACTTAAATGGGCCCTGTTTCTGAAGAGGCTCTTGGAAAATTGAACAATTCAATAGATGCATACCAGGCCAACCAAATTCTGAAGTGGGTAGATTACCACTCTGTTGCTCTTCTTGTTGTTGTTGTTGTTTTTTTTTTTTTTTTTTTAATTGATTAAAGCGCATGGCTAGGTTTAGACATGATGGACACACTTGTACTAGTATGATTGGCCTCCTTAGTCGTGCCAAACAGTTTGGTGCAATAAATAGACTGCTTTATCAAATGATCAAGGATGGGTATCAGCCCAATGTCGTAACATGTAATTGTATAATTCATTGTTATGGTTGTGCAAACTACTTGCAAGAAGCTGTTGATGTATTCAAACAAATGCAGGAAGCAGGGAGTGAACCTGATGGAGTCACCTACTGCACGCTCATTGACATTCATTCTAAATCTAGCATTCTTGATATTCCATGGGAATGTATGAGAGGATGCAAGAGGCTGGCCTCACTCCGGATACATTTACTTACAGTGTTAACGATCAACTGCTTGGGGAAGCTGGCCATTAGAAGTTGCATATAGGCTATACTATAGGATGGTTGATCAGGGTTGTGTTCCAAATTTGGTAACCTACAATATCATGATTGCTCTTCAAGCAAAAGCAAGGAATTACGACATCCAATAGTCGATCTTTGAGCTAGATAAAATGACTTGCTGCATAGTTATGGAAGTATTAGTCCATTGTGATTTACTCGAAGAGGCAGAAGGTATATTTATTTAGATGCAAAAGAAGAACAGGGTTTTCTATGAACCTATTTATGGTATGGGAATGATACCATGCTATGCTTAATGCGGGTTTACAACCCAACGTGCCTACTTGCAGTTCCTTGCTTGGCGCCATTCCGAGGGTACACCAACTATCAGATGCCTATTACTTGTTATGATCAATGCTGACTTTTTGTTTAAACCCTTCTATACAAACTCATACCTTGCTTCTCAGTTGTTGCACTGAGGCGGAAATGAATGACATGGGATTCTGTTGTGAGCTCATGCAAGTCACTGGTCATCCAACTCACACATTCCTTGGTCGAAATGTGCGAGATCACATGAACAATTTTTGGACCTTATGCTTCTTTCGGGTGTCTGCCCCTTCGGAATCGATATTGTGACTGAATGGGGATGGCAATACAGGGTCGCTAGATCTTGTCTAGTGAGGCAGGCAGTCCAGGACACGCTTAGCATTTGTAGCTTACCTTTCTGGATGTTCTGGTGCGGTGTAGGGAGCCAAAATTCAGTTCCGTATGAATTGTATTTAGATTACTTTTTGGATCAGTCAGATATGGGAAGAAGTCTGTCCATATTCAAGTTGAAAGCACAAAAATTCAGTTAAAAGCTGTGGAGTTTGGCTATTTGCTAGTGATTATAAGGAAGGAGGTTTCAACTTTTCCAAAAGGAACTATTTTTTTGATTTGTAGCAGACAAAATTTTGTCTTTTCCATCGTGGGCTACTTTTGCAAAAGATGGGAGACAACTTATCTTAATGTTATTTTATTTATTTTCTTAAATTACGAAATTATTAGCTATTTACTTTTTTTTCTACAGTTAATTTTATCATTTTTAGGGAAAAAAAAAAACAAAAAAAATATATTTTCTATTAATTAAATTATAGTTAAAATGAAAATGTTTATATAATTAAATATGGGTAAATAAACAGCGAGCGACGGCAATGACATAAGTGGTCATAATTCTGGCTGAAAATAATGCATAATAATTTTGTTAGAATAATTATAAATAACTTACTTGTGGTTTAAGACTAATTAAGTCATAATTGAGAGTTTTAATCTTAATCAGAATCCTCAAAGAGTACAAATAAATACATTTCTCCGCCGTAGTCCACTTTCGATGCAATTGTTTTCTTTACTCTCTCTCTCTCTCCCTCCCTCTCCCTCTTGGAAGGGTATGTGTCTGTGCGTCCGCAAAAGCACACAGACCACTCTACTTGTTTCCCCGCCCAATCCATTTTGCGCCTTTTGATTTCTTTGACGATCCATCTTCTTCTCCGGTGACGGCAATCTCTCTGCATTATCCGCCACCGGAATCTGAACGTGTACGACTGTGTCCCCTTCCTACATCTTCTTCTACCTTCAATCTACGAGTTAGTTTCCTTTACTCATTCTTGTTATTCTTGGTGTGTTTACTCATTCTTGTTATTCTTGATGTATCGGTAGACGCATGTGTAAACTTTTCTATATGCATGTCCATTGGATCACTATAGAGGTTCTTGATGGGGCGCAAGAAGAAAAACATTGATCCGCGTTCTAAACAATCTCCGTCGGTTCGTGGAGTCGCCGTTGATGCTTCGAGTTTACCAAACGCCGCCGACAAGAGTTCAATACCTGATAAGGCAAGTAGTAACAACCAAAGTAGGATCGAGTCGGTGTCTGTCAATGAATCGGATGGCTTCTCTTATTCCACAATTAAACTCGAATGCGAGCGGGCTCTTAACGTGCTTCGGCGCGGGAACCACTCTAAGGCACTTAGGCTTATGAAGGAGTTGAACTCCAAGATTAATAACTCTGTTCACTCTGCATTGATTCATCGGGTTCAAGGTACTATTTGTGTCAAACTAGCATCGGTTATTGAGGACGTGAATACGAAGCAGCGGCATTTGAAGAATGCGATTGAGTCTGCTCGTAAAGCAGTCGAGCTCTCACCAAACTCGATTGAGTTTTCCCATTTTTATGCAAATTTGCTTTACGAGGGTGCAAATGATGCTAAGGAGTACGAGGAGGTGGTGCAAGAGTGTGAGCGGGCCCTTGGCATTGAAAATCCAATCGATCCCGCTAAAGAAAGCTTGCAGGATGAAAAGGATCAGAAAATACCTACTGCAGAAGCGCGAATTACACACGTTCAGACTGAATTGAGGCATTTAGTTCAAAAATCAAACATATACTCGATATCTTCTTGGATGAAGAACTTGGGTAATGGGGAGGAGAAATTTAGGTTGATTCCGATTAGAAAAGTGACAGAGGACCCAATGGAGGCAACGTTGGTTCAGGCTAAGAGGGCAAATGAAATCAAGAAGGCAACGAAAACGCCTGAGGAGCGAAGGAAGGAGATTGAAGTCCGTGTTGCTGCTGCAAGGCTGTTGCAACAGAAGTTTGAGTCGCCTCAAATGCAAAACGAAGGAGGTAAAGCTGATCGGACCCTGGATTCATCTTCAGGGTCTAGTACAAAAGTTGGTGAGCGGCGGAAACACGCCAATGTGCGGAAACATGGCTCTTCACGTGAAAGTAGGGATTGGGTTTATTCTTTTTGGAATTCCATGAGTACAGAATCAAAGAAAGAGTTGCTTAAGATCAAGATAAGTGATCTTAAGACTCATTTTAGTTCTTCAAAGGATACCTTGGCAAATGAAATTATTTCAGAAGCTGTGTCCTTTTATGATGCCAATAAAACATGGAATTTTTTGGTGTGTTGCAAATGTGATGAGAAATTTGTGTATCCGGAATCCCATATGCATCATGTGCTTCAAGAGCACATGGGTAACCTTTTGCCGAAAATGCAATCTATCATGCCACAGAATGTTGACAATGATTGGAGTCAAATGCTTCTTAATTGCTCTTGGAAACCATTTGATGTTTCAGCTGCAGCTAAAATACTCATAGGTCAAACAAAATGCAATGACTCGGAGTTGGTTAAGGATATCGGCTTACAGCATCACTCAGAATGTGAAGAGTCTCTCAAAGATGCATGTGGTTCATCTCCAGAGAAGCATAATCATGGGCATGGTTTAAATGAATTAGAGCTTTATGAAAAAATTAGCAACAGCGGATTTGCATTATCTGATAGTTTTCCAGTATCTGATGACTCTGAGCGAACAAGGCTTCTTGAAAAAATTCATGCGGTATTTGAGTTACTTATTGGACATAAATGCCTTGCTGCAAGCCATCTAAACAAGGTGATACAATTTGCAATGGATGAGTTACAGGGCATTGTTTCTGGATCTCATTTTCTAAAGCGGGGTCTGGACCAAACACCTCTATGTATTTGCTTTCTGGGCGCTTCTCAGCTTGGAAAAATCCTCAAGTTCTTGCAAGAATTATCTCAGTCTTGTGGTATTGGTAGATACTCTGATAAAAGTACTGGTCAAGTTGAAGATCCAGAGAGTGATAAACAAGCTGTTGATGTCAAAGAGAAAGTTGTTCTCAGTGGAGATGCGTCACTTCTCCTAAACGAGTGTTTTCTGTCGTCTGATATCCCTCATGCCAATGATCAGGTTGCAGCCACAGATCATATGCCTGCTGCAACTGTTAAAGATGCTACTGCAAATGAGGTTCTTTCTGGTGTCGATTCTTTCCTATCTTGGATATACGCAGATCCCTCTAATGGGGAACAGGTAGCATCATGGACAAAAACAAAGGAAGAAAAGACAAAACAACAATTGGAAATTTTTCAAATGCTTGAGAGGGAATTTTACCTTCTGCAGAACCTTTGTGAGAGAAAATGTGAGCATTTGAACTATGAGGAAGCGTTGCAGTCAGTAGAGGATCTCTTCTTTGAGGAGAGCAAGAAGGAGGAGGCTACGGCTGAATTTATCCCCAAGAGTTATGTGTCAGTTCTGAGGAAGCGAAGAGAGGAGCTTCTTGAGACTGAAAATAATGTGATGTATATCGGCAGTAGGTTTGAGTTAGATGTTGTAACTAATATATTGAAAGAAGCTGAAGCTCTGAAGGTTAATCAATTTGGATATGAGGAAACTGTTGCCAATGTGCCTTCTCAGTCATGTGATCTGGAATCCGGTGAAGATGAAAATTGGAGGGCTAAGGGTTATTTGCATCAAGTTGATACTTGTATAGAAATTGCAATAAAGAGACAGAAAGAACAATTATCTATTGAGGTATGATTATCAATTATGGTTGCTTTACATATAGGTATTTGCTGTTTGCTCATTTTATTTGATCATGCAGGTTAGCAAAATTGATGCACGTATCATGCGGAATGTTTCTGGAATGCAACAGATGGAACTTAAGCTCGAGCCTGTTTCTGCACATGATTATCAATCAATATTGTTGCCTCTTGTGAACTCATACTTGAGGGTCTGTGTCAATTAGGTTAATGTTAACTAATATTCCTTGAGCCTTTTGGGACTAAATGATGGATTCAAATATCAAATTATAACATTCAGGCATATTTAGAAGATTTGGCTGAAAAAGATGCTACGAAGAAGTCTGATGCTGCAAGAGAGGCATTTTTAGCTGAACTGGCACTGGATTCAGAAAAAGGTATCAAAGGAGGAAGTGATAATTCGAGACATGCACATGAAAAGCCAAAGGAAAAGAAAAGGAGCAAGGAGTTTAGGAAATCCAAGGACTCTAAGGTTGTTTTGTCATTTTACCATTAGAAGTTTAGGTTCACGATTTTGTTGTTTTTGTAACTTAGTTGTTCCTGGTGAATAATGATATTTTAATAATTTTAATTCTGCAGGTGGTCAGTGGTCCTGAACAGAATGTGCTTCATGATGGGGCTGTCGATGGAGTGTAAGTATTACTGTTGACTTCCCCACTCTCTGGGACCTATTAATCACTTTTAGGCATTTGTTTTATTATAAAATCATGAACGTCTGAAATCTTCTAACTAATTTTCTGTTATTGGTGGATGGTTTGGTCAATAACTTGTTGCAGTCCCGTTCAAGTTTCACCTGATGGTGATGTGGCAAAGGTAGACGTTGCTGCTTTTGAGAACTCTGATGCTTTAAGACTACAGGAGGAAGAGCTTAGACGCAAAAGTGAGCTGGAAGCAGATGAAAGAAGGCTAGAAGAGGCTCTGGAGTATCAAAGACGGGTTGAGAATGAGGCTAAACAAAAGCTTCTGGCTGAACTACAAAAGAAATCTGCCCAGACAAATCTAGAGGACAAAGTTGCTCTGGCAGAACATGATA